TCATCTGGAGGGCAAGTGGTTAGTTTGTGGTTGTTGCCTTTTTTTTTTTTTTTTTTTTTTTTTTAAAGGCAAGTTCCAATTCCCCCAACCCACACACCCATACACACCCACACACACACACACACCCACACACACACACACACACAACACACAACACCACACCACAAAGGCAAAATTAAGGGTGATTGTACAAAATATGGAGGGAGGGACATATTTGGCACAATCATGGCACTGTTCCAATGCCCAATATGATCCTCAAGCAAAGATTTGGCCATTTAGGGCTACCAATTGCATGTCAATCAGCACTTCTGACCATCAGAAAATCCCTGTATTGTTTACAAAGATTTCTCTACTTGTTAAAATATCTGTGTAAGCTGACAAAAGGCGCTAACCAGGCAATGTCAACATCAGGCAAGTTGCATGAGACTAAGCAGTGGATAGCAGCATTGGAAGATGAACAAATGTCTCCCTACCTGTCATTCTTGGGAGGATATATCAAGGTATATAACATGCTTACGTAATTTTTTTAAAAATGAATCAGATCCCAGAAATGAATCAGATCCCTGAAAAGCAAACTGTTAATACTCGGATGTCCTGCTCTGCAGAACTTTGTAAAGTTGAGAGAGGCTTGCTGAAACATCTTTCTACACACTTCCAGGAGTGTCAGATTCTGGCATTTCCCATTGCGCTCTGTGAACCCATCACTTGACCCCATGTTACTATTGTAGTGACAGGGTAACAGGAGGAACCACAGACTGCATAGGGGGGATCTGGCATTTGAAACTGTAAATGCTGACAATCTTACAGCAAGGTTTTGTCTAACTCTGTGAATTTTGGTGACTCAAGACAGGCTATTGTTTGCCTTTCACGGATCCACTAATTTTGTATAAAAATGGTGTCTGGGCCACTTTAATTGGAAAAGGGTCAATAGACTTCTCCCAAAGCCTGCTTAAAGTGACACAAAAGGATATCCTTATTCTCCTAAAGAATCCAAACACATCCTCTACTTACAGTCAGGTCCATAAATATTGGGACATCGACACAATTCTAACATTTTTGGCTCTATACACCACCACAATGGATTTGAAATGAAACAAACAAGATGTGCTTTAACTGCAGACTGTCAGCTTTAATTTGAGGGTATTTACATCCAAATCAGGTGAACGGTGTAGGAATTACAACAGTTTGCATATGTGCCTCCCACTTGTTAAGGAACCAAAAGTAATGGGACAGAATAATAATCATAAATCAAACTTTCACTTTTAATACTTGGTTGCAAATCCTTTGCAGTCATTTACAGCCTGAAGTCTGGAACGCATAGACATCACCAGACGCTGGGTTTCATCCCTGGTGATGCTCTGCCAGGCCTCTACTGCAACTATCTTCAGTGTGCCCCATAGCAAGCAAGCTACTTACACAGAGGAGGAGGACACGAGAGTGTGAGCAGGGGACTGCAGAAGTACCATTAGAATGCAGCTATGTGCAATACCAATGCACAGAACAGGTAAGTATGACATGTTTGTTATTTTAATTAAAAATAAAAATAATAAGGTTTACAATCGGCTGGTTCACACCACAATTTCTGCGCTCTAGATGTGTTTCCGCATGCATGTTTTTTATGCATTCCATTGTGTATTTGATGCGTTTTTTGTGTTTTTATCTCAATTCAGGACATATGCGATCAAGTGCGTTTTTTGATATGTTTTTCTTGCTGTCTTGTTTGTTCATGCGTTTTGCCGCATTCCAGATTCATTCCATACAGAAAAAATGCAGCATGTTTTACTTTTGTTGACTGCACTGGTTTGAACTAGGGCCATTGCAGAACACTTTGTAATTTTATTCTTCATAAAAAAGTCATGCAGTGGACTGCACCTGTTGTGAACCAACCGTAAACTCCGTTCGGCAATGTTAAATGGATCTTCAAATGGAGGTAAACCAAGTACACTTCGTGGCTTGGATTGCATTAACAGTTTATCCAACACTTCCTTTTAGCTTGGAGGTGCTCTTTGTTTCTTCCTTTTCTGCCTATTACTAAGTTACAAAGTCTTCATCTAAAGAAGGTCTTTATTCTGTAACATGATTCTTAGAAAAAAATGTGTCCAATTTTTTCTTTTTTTTCCTTTTGCAATAATATAAGGTGTGTTTAAAAAGGTCAAACAATGTTTTAGATTTCTCTTGTGACAGGGTTCCCCTTGGTCAGTTGTGTACCCCTATTAAAGTATTGCTAAACCCACAACAGTAAAATCAGTCTGTATATGCAGTAAAGCATGCTTGTTATACTCACTATGTAACCTGCATTGCGTAAATCCTGATCCTGTCTTCTCTGATCCTCCCCTTCTTCTGCTGTCCCAGTTAATCTAGAACAGAGCTTTGGGGGCAAGCTGCAAATTTTTAGTTTGGTGTGTATTGCTAGAGATTTTATTTTTTCTTGGGAGAGTGCATGTGATCAGCACAGGGCCAATCATCACTGTCCAGACAGGGGTCAGGGGTCCTGCAGTCTCATAAGGACAATCAGGGGAGAATGAAAACTCCTACAAGCTTTAACCATGGACACTGATAGAAATCACAAGACTGCTCTAACTGCTGATGAGAAAACGTATTTAGCAGTTTTATATTTACTAAAATAATTTCATTTCCATGTTGTGCGTACTGTGGAGACCAGATATAGTGAATGCAGGGTCCTGGGTTTAGTAACACTTTAAGCTGTAAAATGTTTCCATCCTTCTGAGATAATCACGGGTATTGCAATGTTGTCCATACTGAACATGAGCTGATTCAGCAAGGGTTTGTTCACACTTAGTTTAGTAACCTGTATTTTGCTGTGCTGGCTAAACACAGGACACTACAAGGCACACAGAAAACAATGGCTTCCTATGTCTTCATACATACTGCAACACATGGCAACAAAAACTGAATGCCAAAATTTAAGCTCCATGCACATGGGCCAACATTTGCCCCGTGTGTACCCCAGCCTGTCTGACAGAAGGCGGCAGAAGAGCCAGTTTCTGTCAAAATAGCATGCCGAAAAACCAGCATCCGATCAGTCCCCCTGTCAGAACACAATAGCTCATATTGGAGATCACTTTACCAGCATCGGATAGTTAGTATAGCGAGCTCCTTCCGAGCTCTTCAGTTTTTGTTTTTTATCAGCCTGCTGGGTTGATCATAGAGAAAAAAAAAACTACCATGTACCAGGTTTAAGTGTACTAAAGTGAGATAATGTTCTGATGTTATTCTAGGTTACTGCACATTTCGACTTTAATGAATAGATGTGATGGTATTCAATTTAGTGTTGAGTTTGACTGTAAAATTGTGTTAATTTTTCCGACACTTGCAAACCATGTTCTCTGTGTAGTGTGTCCTTTTTAATTGAACTTCCATTGGAATATATTTCATTTTTTCCTTTCCTAACCATAAAGGTATGTAGTAGGTAGGAGGAAATGCCTCCTCTATTAATGAGGTTCATCTTGGGTCAGCATTCCTTGCGAGCAACAAACAAGACCTAATCTCCTGTCTACGGGCTCAGTGTAAGGGCGCAACAGACTCTCTTGAGATGCAGAAAACGTACATGTCTGATGATTCAGTGTCCAGACAGCTTTTACTTTTGAATTATTAAAGACTACATAATCTTAACTAACAGTGTTGCTCCTGTCATCCACTATTTTGAAGAGCAGAATCTCTAATATTAGGGATTCCTAGCAATTGGTGTATATATTTAGAAAGATAAAAAAATGATTTGCAAGGTTTAGGACAATGGGCTACATACTGTCCACAATATGCCTTTTGAGAACCCTGTACACAATACCTTGCCTATATGCTCTTTTGATGTTTTTGGTTGCTTACATTTTTCTGTATCAAGTTCCTAAATTACATTTTGATTAGTTAGCGTGCTTGTAAAAATTTTCTTCACATGTCAGGATGTCAGACTTACATTTATAATCACAGTGAGAAGTTAGGTCAAACATTTCAAAACTGTATCTTGTTTTTGTTATCCTGCTTTGTCTGTGGGGGGCTGGAGGTGTATCCACCAGTACCATGCCCTTTACTTGGGAATGTTTCTTGCCCCTTCTTAACTAGTCCAGAATAATCATCTTGTTTTGCTTTTCAAATAGAGACTTTCATACTTTCAAACATAGGTCTTGGACTCCTGGTTCATAGATGTGTTTAGGAAACATCATAAATGGCCTGCTGGCTATGTGAATTCCTGACTCCCCAGAACAGAATATTTATAGTCACAGAGTTATGCCTGGTGCACACAATGAGAAAATTGGATGAAAAAAATGCATTTGGAACGATCGTCCGATAATCTTTTTGTTAGTACACAGCCTTTGAGAGAAGATCAGAACAGTTCATGTGCAAATATCCAAAGGGACAAGCAGAAAAATGTTTCTCTAAAATAACACAACAAACAATTTTCATGTAATTAGTATAGTATTTGTACAAAAAAAATCGTGGGACCAAGACACGCATGCTTTTAAACGAAATATAATACATTACATCCTTCCGAAGTTGTATTCTGTCTTACAAGAATGATCGTAAATTTAGTAATCTAATCATTTTCAATATGAGACTAGCATGCAAAAATAAAAATGGATGATTATTCGTCCGGTATTCTCATCATGTGTACTAGGCGTTATTATTCTCCTCAAAAGACAGAGGATTACATATCTGTTCTTTTCTTTAGTATGCCGGTGTGAAGCTTACATTTATCAGTGGTTATAAACTGTTAATTCCTGCAAATGCTTATTACTGTATATTGCATTTGAACCATATTGGACTTTATCAATTAAGTTATCGGTGTTAATAGTTGCCATTGTTCCAAAGCCACCAATCAGAATAAAAATTGTCATTTGTAGGGATTATTTGACTTTTATTGGTGACTGTAGGTCTATGATGGCAGATCTTACCACTGACACTTGAGGTGTATATGATGAGGTACACTCTGAAAAGTAAATGACATGTTTTCTATTGTGTTACTAACTTTGTTTTCTTGGTGTTTTTATCCAGGTGTACCAACCCCAAGCTCGGAAATCCTGCGACATACACTTAACATGCTTGTCCGAGAAAGGAAAATCTACCCAACCCCAGATGGATACTTTATAGTAACCCCACAGACTTATTTCATAACCCCATCCCTTATAAGAACTAACAGTAAATGGTACCACTTGGATGAGAGGATACCTGACCGGTCTCAGTGTACCTCTCCACAACCAGGAACTATTACGCCATCTCCTTCAGGGTGTGTCAGGGACAGAACTCTCTCCAAAAACCACTGCGACTCTTGTCATTGCTGCAGAGAAGATATGCATAGCATCCATGCATCTACCTTACAAAGGAAATCTGCAAAAGACTGTAAAGACTCCTATTGTCCCCCCTCATTGTGCCAGATACCCCCTACAGAGAAAAGCAAAAGTACCATAAATTATTCTTATAAAACAGAAACCCTTTCGAAACCTAAAGATGGGGATAAGCCATCTAAGAAGTTTGGTCTGAAATTATTTAGGCTAAGTTTTAAAAAAGACAAGGCAAAACAGCTGGCTAATTTTTCAGCCCAGTTTCCTCCTGAGGAATGGCCCCTTCGAGACGATGACACCCCAAATACCATACCCCGTGAAGTAGAGATGGAAATCATTAGGCGAATAAACCCTGACTTGACAGTGGAAAATGTCGTACGACATACTGCACTAATGAAAAAACTTGAAGAAGAAAAATCTCAGAGGAGCAAAGCTGGTTCATCAGCTCACCATAGTGGTAGAAGCAGGCGAAGCAGGACTCACAGAAAAACTCATGGAAAATCTCGGTCACACAGTAAGAATAGGGCTTCCAAAGGTGACCCTTCTGAAGGCTCCCACTTAGACTTACCCGGAGAGAGAGAGTATGAGTTCTATCATCCTCGAAATCGTTCACCAAGGGAAGGTTGTTTCATAATGGAGCGTAAGGGAGGAGAAAATTTTGTAGTGCTCAGCAATCCAAACATGATTGAATCTCATTTTCCTGTTACACCAGAATGGGATGTGTCTGGTGAACTGGCCAAAAGGAGAACTGAAATGCCTTTTCCTGAACCCTCAAGGGGGAGTTCCCATTCCAAGGTCCATCGAAGCCACAGCCATACACAGGATAGAAGGTCAAGAAATGAAAGGTCAAATAAAGCCAAGGAAAGGTCTAGGTCAATGGACAACTCAAAGGGACCTTTAAGTGGTGCTTCTTTAGGGACACCGGATGACCTGGGTGAAGGCCTGAGTCTTGATGATAAAAACACCAAGCCAGTCTTTTATAGATGATGGCACTTTAAGACCATCTCACAGTAGCTTGAGTCATCAAAGGACTCTAACTTACAAAGACACATGCGGCCCTGAACTAGCTAGTGGTGGTGCAGATACCCCTAAATCATGTAGCCTGTTGGAACAAGGCAAACTTCCAGAGACTTTATCCTCCTACAGTGAACTTAATTCTTGTTCCAAAAAAACAGCGGATGACTATTTTCAGTGTAATACATCTAGTGAAACAATTCTCACTGCTCCATCCCCTTTAGGTAAAAATAAAGAGGAAATTGATATATCAAGTCTCACAGAAGGCTTGAAAAGACTTTCTCCTGCTGAGAAGCCACAGCAACACATAGCCAGAGAGCAAGGTGAATACAAAGATGACTCACCAAAAGGTACTGTTAGTGGTCTATCAGTTGCTGCTTCTGGTCAGACCCCAGAAGTGATTGCAAATGGGCGATTGGTGCCACATCACAATGCAGAATCTAGCAGCCTTGATAAAAGGAAAGAAATCTTCAGTAAAGATACTCTATTCAAACCTTTGCACAATAGCCTATCTGTGAACAGTTTTCATAAATCGGGTGTGAATTTGCTGAAAACACACCAAAAAACTTCTCCTGAAACACTGCCAGCAAGCATTGAGAACTTTGAGCAACCTATTACCACCTCAGTTACCCCAAACCTTGCTGTCTCACCAAGGCCACAGGAGCCAGCAGGAAATCAAGAAGCCTCCTTTGATTACTACAACGTCTCAGAAGATGACGAGTCAGAGGAAGGCACACAAAAGACAGCAGAAGAAGAAAAAAACAGAGATGATGTGGGGACAATGCAATGGCTGCTACAGCGGGAGAAAGAAAGGGATTTACAAAGGAAGTTCGAGAAAAACCTCACACTTCTAAATCCAAAGGAAACTGACAGCAGCAGTAGCCAGCGAGCCACACATTCGGCTCGTTTGGACAGCATGGACAGTAGTAGCATCACTGTAGACAGTGGATTTAATTCCCCACGGTAAGAAGTGGCCTCTGTTTGTTTATTATGGAATATTTCCTTTTGTTTGGATCAATAATCAGGTTGGGCAGATATATAGTTTTTGTTCATCTTGTTCTTTTTTTGGGCCAAACCAAGATTTTATGTTACAGAAAGAATATCAATATTTACTGTCTGAATAATATTTACTGTCTGAAGAAGAGACCTAGGTTGTCTGAAATGCTGCTTTCTTTCTTGTGTCACTGGTTAAAACTATATAACATGATGCAATGTGTTTTTTTTTGGTTATTAAAATAGCACCTTGATATTGGTTTACATGTTTTGTTCAAATGAAGAAATTACCTCTTCCAATATTTTCAAATATTAATGTTTTATACTTAATGTATATGAAAAGCAAATACTATTAATTTTTTTTTTTTGTAATTTTGGATAGGGAAGAGCATGGATAAAGGTATTGACATTTTTTTTTTGCCATCTGTGTCCTATTTGGGAACATTCCCTTCACTTACACTTCTTCCACTTTCTTTGGAAAATCCGTATAAAATTAGGGGAAATGCATTCCTATTACAGCTCTGGTGACAACCTGCTTTGCAAATTAGAGATGGGATTCCACTGAGAATAGAATGATTAGAGCCTTGTGATGACCTCAAATGTGAAAAAGTCTTCTTAATATTAAAGAACAACCTTCATTTTAAATTGTGAGAAGCAGAGAGAAGTATGTTTTGTATTTCATAGTTTGAACGGAAGTTCAGCTTAAAGCAGTATTAAACTCAAAACCAAAAATGTAATATATTGCAGTTTACCAGTCAGTAGATGTGGTAGCTGCATTTGTTTTCTTTTTTAGGGCTTTATTTCCTCTTTTCACCTTGTGATCTGGCCAGTAACACCTCCTGTATTAGGCGCCCCTCTCAGGTTTAAGGAGCACAGGGGGCACATTTAGACAGCAGCATTGTCAGTATGGGAGGAGGGGGATGTCAGATGTACTAACAGATTGAAACCAAACTCCAGCTCACACTGCAATTACAAATGAAATTACAGCACCACCTTTTTTTCTTTTGGGATTCAGGTTTTGCATAAATAAAATCTGACCATCGCCGGCACCCGTCAGTCGTAAATGGTTTGTCACAGAACTCCTAGCTGCTACATTTGCAAGATAACCTGTTCTGTTGAAAAACAACAGACTTACTGGCTGGATCACTAGATGAAAATAAAGGAAAGAAATGCCTAAATGCAAAACAACTAATGCAACCATCAAATCTAAAAATTAATAGGCTGCAGTATAATAAATGTTTGCTTTTGGGTTTAATACTGTTTTAGGCTTTAATAATTTTAAAGCGAATCTAAAGGTGTTGTTTTTTTTTTTTTAAATAACAAGCATAGTTACATAGTCTGGCTGAAAGAAGACAAAAGTCCATCCAGGTCAGCCATTAAAAAAAAAAAAAAAGTTATAATCCTACACCCACAGTTGATCCAGAGGAAGGCAAAAAAAAAAAACCCAACAAAGCATGATCCTATTTGCTCCTGCAGGGGATAAAATTCCTTCCTGATCCCCCTATTATCCCGCTATAAATGTTAGTAGCCAGTTACTGTATATTCTGTGTATCCAAGAAAGAATCCAGGCCTTTTTTAAAGAAATCCACTGAGCTGACCAGAACCAACTCTTGAGGGAGTCTATTCCACATTTACACAGCTCTTACTGTGAAGAAACCTTTCCGTGTTTGGAAATTACATTTCTTTTCCTCCAGACGTAAAGAGTGCCCCTTGTCCTCTGTGTTGACCTCAAGGTGAATAGCTCTACACCGAGTTCACTATATGAACCACTGATGTATTTATACATGTTGATCATATCCCCCCCTTAATCTCCTCTTCTCAACAGAGAATAAATTCAATTCCTCTAATCTTTAATCTTATCAGTTTGGTTGCCCTTCTCTGTACTTTCTCCAGTTCCCCAATGTTCTTTTTGTGAATTGGTGCCCAAAACTGAACTGCATATTCCAGATGAGGTCTTACTAATGATTTGTACCGGGGTAATATGATATCTCTCTCTCTGGAGTCTATACCTCTTTTAATACAAGAGATGATTTTGCTCGCTTTAGAAACTGGAGCTTGGCATTGCATGCCATTATTAAGTTTTTGATCTACCAGAACTCACAGATCCTTCTCCACCATTGATTCCCCCAGTTGTACCCCCCCAGTATGTATGATGCATGCATATTCTTAGCCCCCAAGTGCATAACCTTACATTTATCAACATTAAACCTAATTTGCCACATAGTTGCCCAATTAAACAGTGCATTGAGGTCGGCTTGCTTATAAGTTGAAGACATCCTGTAAGGACATTATTCCACTGCACAGCCTGGTGTCATCTGCAAAGATTAAAATGGGATTTTTAATCTCAAACCCTATATCGTTTATAAATATATTAAAAAGTAAGGGTGCCAACACTGAACCTTGGGGTACACCACTGATAAGCCCAGATCATTCAGAGTATGAATCATTAACCACTACTCTTTGAATACGATCTTTTAGCCAGTTTTTTATCCATTTACATAAGGATTTTTCCAAGCCTATAGACTTTACCTTAAACATTAGCCATGTGTGTGAAATATACTATACTTACCTACTGTGTGTAGTGATTTAGCACAGAGCAGCCTGGATCCTCCTCTTCTCGGGTCCTCCCCAGTCTCTCCTGGCTCTTCCTGTCTGTTGGGTGCCCCCACAGCAAGCAGCTTGCTATGGGGGTACCTGCTGCTCTGTGTATTTATTCACACATGAAGCCGCAGCTTGGCTCCCGCTTGCCCTCTCAGCCAATGAGGAGGCAGAGACCCAGGACAGCCGAGACTGTCATTCACATTGCTGGATCGTGATGAGGCTCAGGTAAGTACTGAGGGGGCTGGACCACTGCTGTACACAGAAGGTTTTTTACCTTCATGCATAGAACCTTCAGCCTTTACAACCACTTTAAGTAGTAAGTATTAACAAATATTAACAAAGTATTAACAAAACTTTTGTTTAGTTTTGGATAGCGTAGGGAGGGATTAGAACACCTGTCAGGATTGTTTTGTTGGAAGATTATACCTCTCTATTCTTCCTTAGGAAGATTATACCTCTACTATACTTTTTCCTGTTTACGGTTATCACAAAGTGGAAAAAAAAATCTAAAATTTTGGGTTGACACCAATACAAGAATAGAGGGGAAATCCTAAAATGGCAACACTAGTTTTTGTGACCCTGGTATTAACCGGGGAATCCCTCACTTTGGAGGGATTTCTTCTTACTTCCTGTTTTTGATATGGAACATAAAGTGAGGAAAATCTCCCCAATGGAATGCATATGGCAAAATAATGAAAGGGGTTATCATTTTTCACAGTACCATGCAATCTGGTGGAGTTCTTTTTTGAAAAGCAGTGCCTGCGATACTTTTGGTGTGATTTCATCCCATTCAAGGAATGGACTGAAAATCGCACCGTACTGAGTCACATAGAAATTACACAAACGTGGACCACGTTTCAGTGTGACTCAGGTGTGAACCAGCCCTCAAGGATCCCCTGCCAAAACCAATTCATCGGGGTCAGTGGGAAGAATATAATTTACATTAATTGTCAGTGAGAAGAAGGGCCAAGCTCCCCAACACCTCTCTTACCTTTATAATGGGGTAAGAATGCCACCCTTCTAGACAGCTAAAAAGATAGTTGGTGTCATACCAAATGGTGTTGACCCCAGAACTATGCAGGCACCATCAAATAGGAGGTCAATCAGCCACAGCTCTAACAACTCCTAACAATCTCTGGAGGATTCCTAGGTCTCCAATGAACTCTGGTTTAGTATGACTGGTCTAACATTCTGTTGTGCAAAATACTGAATGGTACCCAGCCTAAAATATTCTTTGGGTGTTCTCTTTCTGTTTTCCCATAGGATGAATGGGTTTAATTATTTTATCTTGCATTTTTCATGGTTCACTGTGGTTATGTTTTATACTGCATTTCTACTGTAATGCTCACTCATTTCCACCTTTCTGTTGTATATTCATTTCGATATGAGGCTAACATACAAGAAAAAAAAAAAAATGGACGATCATTCATCCAACATACTCATCGTGGGTACTAGGCATAAAGGTCATTGTGCCAGTGGGAAGTATTGAAATGTAGTATTTTCCCTTGTGAATGTTAGGTACAACTATACAATGCAGCTGTGTTTATATGAATTAAAAAAGTACCAACTCAGGAAAAGCATTTTTTTTAAATTTTTTTCTTCTAGTGAACCTGTCATGTAGGGCCAGAGGGTAGATATGACATTGCTGCTTGTTCAGTTTTGTTTAAATTGTTACTTTGTTGGTACCACCTTCTGAGGTAATGGGGTCAATTCACTAAAAGTTACTGCATGCAATAACAGGGTCACGTGACTCATTTGTATATATTATTGCCTGTGGTAACAAAATGTCCAATTTACATTAAAAAAAACAATTTCTGCAGTATTTAACGCAAAATTAAAAATGTATTGGTAAATACCACAAAAAAAAAAACATGCGGAAAGCTGTTAAGTCTAATTCACAAACAGAAAGTAAAAAAAGAGGTGATAATTTATTACCAGGGTTTTACTGGCGGTATCACATGTGGTATTTTTTCAGATGCAGCAAGGGGGTCAACCCCTTGGGATCTCGTGTTGATATTTAGGGGACCTCATGCAAAAATTAAAAATAAAAAATGGCGTGGGGTGCCCCCCAAATCCATACCAAACCCAAAATTCCTTAGGACTGTGAGGGGACCCGCACACCTTTTTTTTTTTTTTTTTTTTTTTTTTCATGTGGGGTTCCCAGACCTAAGGGCCATTTTTGTTTGGTATTTTTTTTTTTTTTTTTTATTTTGGTGTGGGGTTTTTCCTAAAATGCATACCAGACCCAAAGGACCAAGTATGGGGGGGCACACTGTTTTTTTCATCATTTGTAATCCTGGCATGTTTTGTTTTCATTCAGCCATCAGTGGGACATCCGCTGACAGCTGATGAGTCATCTGTTGCTAATG